TCAAGGATACGACCGCAGAGCGCAGCCTCGCCAACAGGGAGCCGATCTCTGTGGCGCAGGTACCGAAGGGCAACGCCTCCCGGCCGCGGGAAGAACACCGCCCGAGGGCAGGGGGACGAGGGGAGAGCGGGTTGCGGGTCGCGGGGAGGGCGGGCCAGCGCGACGGCGACTATAGGATGGCGTCCTTGCCGAAGAGTAAGCTCAGCTCCTCCTCGTTGTACGGAGGGAAGCAGTCGGTCATGTACTGCTCCACGCTTCTGTACAGGTGGAATCTCACTCGCTCCAGGTCGTGGCCCTCGTCCGTGTAGGTCTGTTGCCTGGAAAGGACACAAGGGTTAGTACAAGGGGGTGAAGTTAAACCAAACAAACAATAAATAAAAAGCTGCTGGTTCTATGCCAGTATAATCAGGTCATGACAGGAAATACGTTTGCACACAAGAGTGTATTGCCAACCATCGATGCTCAAAATAATATATTTTTTTTATCTGATTGTGTTTGGCATGAATTTTACAAAACATAGATCACATACGAATGGCAATTTTCATAAAGAAATTTTAGTAAGTTTTCAATCTCTTTGATTTGTCCTGTCAATCCCTTTCCTCTCTTTGATATCTATTTCTTTTATTCTTCTTTCTTCCTAAATCTATCAGCCTACACCTCTCCATTTAGTATTCAATTTGTTCCCCTTCTCTCTTTCTTTTATACCTCCCTCTGAATCTTTCTGTCTTCTACTCGAATGATGTAGCAAAGATTAATGAAAAAACGACGCATAAAACCATGATTAGCATTAGAAAAAACAAAAAAATCTATCGCTAGAAAAAACTCTATTAAACATCTCAATAAATCGCATAAAATGAAGGTAAATCAACACTTCCAATCAAACCATTCCTCTCCTCTTCTTCTCAGTTTTCTCCCATTAAACCATCCCTCTCCTCCTCCTCTTCTTCTTCTCAGTTTTCTCCCATTAAATCATCCCTCTCCTCCTCCAACTCAGGCAAATTAAAAAACTTCTCTTATCTCAGCTCCTCTAAAAATTAAATCCCTCTCCTCCTCCTCTTCTTCTCACTTTCTCTTAAACCATTCCTCTTCTCCTCTTCTCAGCTTTCTCCCATTAACCATCCCTCTCCTCCCTCTTCTTCTTCTCGCTTTCGACAAAAAAATTGATCTCAGGTATCTTCAAAAACTTAAACCAAGCTTCTTCCTCAAGTTTTCTCCCATTAAACCATCCTCTCCTCCTCACCTCTCTTCTTCTCTTCCCATTCAGCTTTCTTTCTCGCATTAAAGCATCCGCTCCTCCCTCCTCTTCTCAGTTTTCTCCATTTCACTGCATCTTTCTCCCTATTGTATCCCATCTCCCATCCCTCTCCTCTTCTTCTTCTCAGCTCTCCCATTTCATCTCGCTTTATCTCCCATAAACCATCCCTCTCCTCCTCCTTTCTTCTTCTCAGCTTTCTCCCATTTAAACCATCCTCTCCTCCTCCTCTTCTTCTTCTCAGCTTTCTCCCATTTAACCATCCCTCTCCTCCTCCTCTTCTTCTTTCCAGCAGCTTTCTCCCATTAAACCATTCCTCTCCTCCTCCTCTTCTTCTTCTCAGCTTTCTCCCATTAAACCATCTTCTTTCTTCTTTTTCCCATTAAACCATCCCTCTCCTCCTCCTCTTCTTCTTCTCAGCTTTCTCCCATTAAACCATCCCTCTCCTCCTCCTCTTCTTCTTCTCAGCTTTCTCCCATTAAACCATCCCTCTCCTCCTCCTCTTCTTCTTCTCAGCTTTTCTCCCATTAAACCATCCCTCTCCTCCTCCTCTTCTTCTTCTCAGTTTTCTCCATTAAACCATCCCTCTCCTCCTCCTTCTTCTCAGCTTTCTCCCATTAAACCATCCCTCTCCTCTTCCTCTTCTTCTCTCAGTCTCCTTCTTCTCAGCTTTCTCCCATTAAACCATCCCTCTCCTCCTCCTCTCTTCTTCTTCTCAGCTTTCTCCCATTAAACCAATTCTTCTCCATCTCCCATTAACCATCCCCTCCTCCTCCTTCTTCTTCTTCTCAGCTTTCTCCCATTAAACCATCCCTCTCCTCCTCCTCTCTTCTTCTCAGCTTCTCCCATTAAACATCCCTCTCCTCCTCCTCTTCTTCTCAGCTTTCTCCCATTAAACCATCCCTCTCCTCCTCCTCTTCTTCTTCTCAGCTTTCTCCCATTAAACCATCCCTCTCCTCCTCTTCTTCTTCTCAGCTTTCTCCCATTAAACCATCCCTCTCCTCCTCCTCTTCTTCTTCTCAGCTTTCTCCCATTAAACCATCCCTCTCCTCTTCTCGGCTTTCTCCCATTAAACCATCCCTCTCCTCTTCTCAGCTTTCTCCTATTAAACCATCCCTCTCTTCTTCTCAGCTTTCTCCCATTAAACCACTCTTCTCCTATAAACCGGAAAATGGTCTACCCATGTGTGTGTGTGTGTGTGTGAGCCCCTCTAATGCCCGAAGATCGCCGCCCTTACCTGAAGATGATACCCTTTTCCGTGAGCGCCCTGGAGAACTTGAGCGTGTGGGCACTGTGGACGTCGGTGTCCCCCGAGCCGTAGACGAGGAAGAGGCTTTTGTTCTTGAAGTTCCCGGCGTGGAACAAGAGGGAACTCTCCTCGTAGCCTCTGTAGTTCCCTCCGGGTCCCACCTGCGCCGAGCCCATGTACCGCTCGCTGTAATACGACGCTGCGGACCAAAGGGAATGATGTTTAGTGTTATTTTTGTTGCGTGTGGTGACAGTATTGACACGCTTTTTGTGGACTATTTTAAGTCAGTTGTCGGTATATCATATAAAGAAATTTAAAAAAATTCTCGGTATATCCAAATACTCGAAGTATGATATTTATATCATATTTAATTTTTCAATAAAATTTGTTCAATGTTGACATTATGCCGGTAATGTCTATTGATGCCGACGAAACCACTGGGTGGGCAAGCCAGCTCATGTCAGTACCGGTCCCGGGTATAACTAGAGGTTTGGCGTTAGGAAGGGCATCCGGTCATTAGAAATAACTGCGAGAGCCAGAAAAGGGCGACCCCATAGGAGAGAGGGTCAGAACTACAACAAAAGCGAGAAAGTCTACTGATAACTACGGACAACTATTAGCATATTTAGCACATTTAGGCATATTTTTTCCTCCTTTGGTGTTTTGTCTTTAATAAAGTGGTATTCATTAGAAAAGCGACAGAAAGAAAAAAATCGCATTCGATCTTAACTGAAATTTTAGATAAGCGACTCCTATTATTGAGATACGTACAAAATGTTAACGTAAGAACACGAAACTTGGCAAAGAATGAATACTGTCAAACTTTTGAAACAGGATTAGCGAATTGATGTAATTTGATAGTAAATGAAAAGTAAGAATAATTTCGGCAAATTTAGGCACCTTCTATGAAAAATCCTCCATACTCTGGAAAGGTATTAAAAGTACCGCATTGTAAAACTGAAGATAAGCAGAATGTTGTCTGCTATAGTTCCGGCTTCCATGCTCTGTCTCGCTCTCATAGAAAACGAAATACAATGATGTAAAAAATATGGGATACTATACTATTTCCATTCTTTAGTATTTTTTTTGTCATTTACATCATATAATAGAATGTGAAAAAAACGATAAAAAAAGAAGAAATCAAAACAAATAACTTATTGACTCTTTATGATTTAGCATTGTAAATATCAGTTAAAATACTGAGTATAATTGCTCCTATGGAATGAGTATAGATGCAGACGGCCAAGGAGACTAAGAAGCAGACGGCCAAGGAGACTAAGAAGCAGACGGCCAAGGAGACTTACTAGACGGCCCTACGCCAAGGAACCTAAAGGACGTGTCACACTAGCACTTTTTCCGCATCACTTTTCCGCTGGCACCACGGAAATCGTGGTCATTTTGGCTCGCGCAATCACACTAGCGATGAGAATCACGGAAACAGTCCGACCAAAATTCTAAACACAGAAAGATGGGTTCAACCCCCGCACAGGCTCTGGCGATAATGGACGTTATTCTGGCTATGTGGCGACGATTTAATGCGAAACAACGAATGTGTAATGCTAAATAAGGGCGTATTCTCGCTACTCTCATCTAGTCAGCTGACGGGGGAACGTGGACACAAATGTAAACAAACAGGCGAGCAGCTAGTTACAAACTTGTATCGGTTTTAATTAAATACAAGAGAGAATTTTGCCAATCTAAAATATTATTTACAGAATAGACTGTCTTTTTGAATCGTTTAAATTATAAATATTTGTTTTTACATTACTATAACGATTATCTATTATAGCTTATCATTTGAACCAAAAAGACCACGGAAACTTGCCAGCAAAAACGATAATTATCGTTTGACTGGAATTTATGGCATTCATCCAAAATACAAGCGGTAGCGAAAAAACAAAAAAAAAAAAACACACGGAAACGTGAAAGAACCACGGAAATTGTGCTAGTGTGACACCCCCTTAAGAAGCAGACGGCCAAGGAATGCCAAGGAACCTAAGAAGAAGACGACCAAGGAACCTAAGAAGAAGACGGCCAAGGAACCTAAGAAGAAGACGGCCAAGGAACCTAAGCAGACGGCCAAAGAACCCGCCAAGGAACCCGCCAAGGAGTCGGCCAAGGAGGCCGAGACCTTCTATAAGAATTAAACTGAAAGACCCTCATATTACAGTTATCAACAATGAGATTATGTGCATGACTGCAGCATACGCGTTCATGGCTGAGGGAATGAGTAACAACGGCATGTCCTTCCTATGTGCCATTAAGAGAAGACCATGATAATGTGAAGAAATGAGTTACAACAGCACGATATACCTGAATGCTGTTAAGAAAACGCCATAACCATGTTCTTTACTTTGACTTCAATCGGCACAAAGGCTTACCATAGAGTGACCAGTCCGTGATGGGGTTGACGACTGTGGCGCACGTGAAAAGGTTTTCAACGTCTTGAGATAACATCCGGGCAGCGTTGTAGCCGCCGTGGCCCCACCCGAAGGCCACCACTCTCGCCCCGTCTATGAACTCCAGCTCAGACACCAGGGACCTGTTGGGGCAGCGAGGCGTTAGCAGAGGGACTGGTGGAATAATGGCTTGGAATGATGGAGATCAGAACGAGGAGTTGTAATGCGTTTATTTTGTGGATATCATCAACGTTGACATTAACGTTTTCATAACTCTAGAAGATTATATATTCAAACGTTTCCATAACTCTAAAAGATTATATACTCAAATGTTTCCATACCTCTAGAGGATTATATACTCAAACGTTTCCGTAACTCTAGAAGATTATATACTCAAACGTTTCCATAACTCTATAAGATTATATACTCGAACGTTTCCATAACTCTAGAGGATTATAATACTCAAACGTTTCCATAACTCTAGAAGATTATACACAAACGTTTCCATAAATTTAGAAGATTATATACTCAAACGTTTCCATACATGTAGATTATATACTCAAACATTTCCTTAACTCTAGATTATATACTAAAACGTTTCCATAACTAGAAGATTATTTACTCAAACGTCTCCCGAACTCTAGGTTATATACTTAAACGCTTTCATAACTCTAGAAGGTAATATATTGTAACTACACATCAAAAACAACGATATTAAGCATAACATCATATAAGACTCGGATTAAAATAACTTAACAACGGCATTGGATATTAGAATTCTAACTACACAGCAAATTCATTTTTGAAAACAAAATAACCTAGAATATATCTAATAACATTCAACCGATACTTGACTAACTGACTCTAATCTTCAGCATCCCTAAAATCTCCTCCAGTTTTAACACTAAGTCCTCAGTACTGACAAAAAAAAAAACAAACTAACACGACAATTACAAATGCGTCCTGAGCGACCGAATACCATAGGAGTCACGACTTACTTCGTGACTGCTAAGTGGTCGTGCACTTCGACCTCCCCGAGTTTCCAGGCCGGCTTGTACATGAAACTCAGATCTTGACCCGCTGCTCCTCGAACGTCCATGTCAAGTACCACCCAAGACCTGCAGGAGGAAGAGCGGTGAGAGAGGTACATGAAGGAGAAGAGGTGGCCGTGTTGTAAATGGTTGGTATATTGGAGAGGGGGAAAGAGATAGGGAGAAAGGGAGAGGGAGAAGTAGAGAGAGAGAGAGAATACATTGAAAATCACTGATGTAAGCATATTTAAACATAAACTAACAGAATGAGTTGAGACACAATATAAGATAAGGGTGAAAATAAACCGTTACAGCTATGAAGTTTACTATACGAGAAAAACTGGCGCGTTCTTTAACATCTTTTACAAAAGGAACAGCGAAAAGTAATAAAACCAATGAACCATCTGATCTCAACCCAGAATCAATCTTCCACCCCAGAACAATACTATTGTTTTGAGTAAGGACCCAGGTCGCACCTCTTCAAAAAACGAACAAAAAAAACGAAAACAAAAGTCATGGTGTCGAAGTTTCAATCTGTCACCATATAAAATATAGATGAACTTTCCTAACTTAGAGCTTTTATGGACACCAAACGTGCTCCGATCCAAAAATTTCAAACCCGAAAGGAAAAAAGGAAAAAGAAATAAGAGGAAAAAGAAAAAGACATTTTTAAACAAAACGAAAAAAAAAAAGAAAAAGAACCTACAAATTCAAATTACTGGGAAAAATAAAGAAAATGGGACCAACAAAAAAGGAAAAGAAAGAAAAAACAAAAATTAAAAAAGAAAAAGCAATCCCAAAACTCACTGGAAGCAAGGTATAGTCGCCCCTCCCACGCCACAAAAGAAACAAACAAACATACCGAAACTAAGCCAACACACAACAAACGACGAAACATGAGAACCCAACACTAAAGCAAAAACAGAAAACAAGAAAAAAAGCCTTCACACATGGAACCCTAGAAGCAAAACCACGGGTCCGCCTCCCATCCCCAAGAAAAAGAAGCAACACAAAAACTCTCAAGCGGAGACAAAAAAGAGCCGCGCACGAAGCTAAAAGAACTCAAGACCACGCAGCAAGGGGCGAAACACAAAAGAAAGCCCTCACTCACAACCTCTCGCCTCAACCAAAATATAAAAGTAGAAGATTAATAAATAAATGAAAAAAATAGATCACAACAAACATAAACACTTTAATGAGGACGGCTCAAAAGTCAAGTTGCCCTCGCCTCCCAAACTCTACCCCCCCCCCTTACCCTTCAGAAACCAGAAAGAAACAGTCAAAGACCATGGAGAGACACTGCCATGCAGCAAAAAAAAAACACCACATCAACCACAAACAAGAACTCAAAAAGACTAAACAACTAAATAAAAAAGTAATATAATACAAAAATAAAATAAAGAAAACAAACTCCACTTGTTGGAGGCCAGGTTACGTGCCCCCCAGTCCACGTGTCCGAACCTCTGTGCATGTGTACCAGGCTCTCGCTGGCCCAGGGACCCCGGACCCCACGCGCACCGACCATCGGTGTGCATTGAAACGCCTCGTCGTCAGCCGCAACTCCGCACA